GTAGTCGTGTCTAGCTGCAACCTTTTGCGTCGTGTACTTTCATACAAATTATCTTCTTCTTCTTTGCGTTCACCAGCTGTACACTCTGGCGGAAAGTTCTGGCTGCTCGTCCATTAGTGAACTGCAGTCCTGCTCCAGAACCTGAGTGTTGCGTGTGCATCAGTTTTACAGATCTCATTCTCTTGAATACAGACTGTTGATTCCTTGCCTCTCTGGCAGATGCACTCCGACTTCAAAGGAAGCTCCTCAATTAGTCGACTCTTACGACATGCTTTTGGGGAGGCAGTGGGTCTGTTCTTGTTTTCCCCACAATGGGACCCCGGAACTCACACGGGGGATACAAATTATATTCCATTCTTCCTTTCCCCTTCAACTTTCCCACCGTCACGATGAACTCCAGTTTTCTCATTCTCATGACATAAGCAAAAAATTGTAGATTGTCTCTTTCTGACTTGGGTAAACAATTCTTTTCGTGACCTCCCCCCCCCCCCCAAGCAGCTGTATATTGACCGCCCCTAATTGGTAATAGTGAATGGAGGTTGGCTGCACTTCATCCATTGCTAACTATGGCGATATTACGGGTTTTGAACAACGGATCAACGTCATGGAACAAGGGTAATAGCCCATAAGTGCTCCGTTCTTCTTCTAACTCAAGTCTGAGTCCGAAGAAGTTCAGCACAGGCTCTGTAGCACCGGCGAGGATCGTGAAATACTTTGTGTATATATTTAACTCCAAATTATGCCCAGGCAGCGCCGTTAGGCTAATTTTTTTAAATTTTCCAACAGCCAAGGAATTTTCTTACGTGCGCAACAATGCACACGGGCGTCTGATCTCACTACCCAGAGACCATGGGGAATTACTAGAAGTCAAAGTCCACGTGAAAAAATCCCATTCCTTACCCGGGATTGAACCCGGAACCTCTAGCACTCAGGGCGGATACCATGACTCGAGACTACAGCCCCCCCCCCCCCCCCCCCCGGATATTACGTGATGCGGCCTCAGTATCTTCCATTTTGTGATTCCAACCCAAGTCGAAAGTAACTTCCTGTTTTACGAGGGCAGAACGATGTCTTTTTGTCTGCAGAAATCTGCAGGTTAGTGGTATGTGTTTTCTTTGTTCAAATTCACATCCGTAAAATACTGCTATTTTTTATGTTTGCAAAAACATTTTTTTTTTCTAGACTCGTATCTATTTGTCAGACGACTGGCTCTGTTTTAGGACCTTTGTAAAATAGTCGTAACTTAAATCTGTATACCCCAAACATGAAGTGAGTTTTAAGAACCAACACTACAACATTCGGGACATTTACATAAGCACCGTGTCCATATCTTCAGCAGCCAGAGAAGAGTTTCAGTTCCAATGGTGCCAGTAACAATCTAATTGTTTGTCCTTTTTTCCTTTCTTCTGAGTGTTGAGTTTCGGCTACATCCCTAGTTACTTTCCGCTACACACCATATTGATCTGCTTCCCAACCGCATTGATCACTTGACCACGTCTCCTCCAAACATTTGTTGCTTTAAATTACATTTTATGCTTTGCGCTCTGAAGTTCATGGGTTCGTTTTACAGTGGCGCCGTTCATTTAACGAGTACAGTTTTTACAGAGATACCAGGGGATCGTCGCCGGAACTACGGAGGTCGTGCTCTGTGGGGCGCTCTCGGCAGACAGCAAGTTGTTCTGCGGAGAAAGACTGAGCCGTGTGGGATACAACTCGGTGCAGCTCCCAGATCGACCTAGCCTAAAATGAATACCCGGTTAAAGTTCAAGTCGAAAGGATCGACTTCATTGCACCGGGTCTATTCCTAGATGGCTCGGTCTCTCTCTCTGTAGAATGCCAGCCACCTGCCGACAGTGTCGCACAAAGTATGAACTACGTAGCTCCGGCGACGATCCCCAGGTTTATTTGTAAAATTTGCACTCTTGAACTGAACACTGTGAAACGAACCCACGAGCTTCAGAACACAAGGCAAACAGCTTGGTCACCTCGCACTGGAAGAACCCCTCCCCCCCCCCCCAAATAAATCCGGCGAGTGCCCGGTAATGTCCTGGGAAGTAAAGGCGATCGGCGTACTGTTGACCCCATTGAGTACCGACTAGTGTTTAAAAATGTAGGTGTGACACCATATGCCGAAAACACCTTTACATGAGAACCTTAACAGTGTGACAGAAATTACAGTTTCCGTTTTTCTGTTGTCTTGTAACTTTTTAATTTATTGTGAAGGATCACAAGAGTGTAAGGGACGTGACACCGTAGTGTTTACGAACGTGGTGACATGGTAAAAGATGGTGGCATACTTATCGTCATTTTCTGTGACCTTTTAACGTTTTCATTTGAAGCACACTCGTACCTTACGGGTCACGACATATTAGCTGCGATGGATTGTTTCCTTCCTCAATGTTTTTCCTTTCCTAACATTTTCCAAGAATATTCCGGAAATTATTTTCCTACCTTGCCTATAGGCTCTAAATATGATACAGGAATATAAATAAAGAGTACACGGTAAGGAAATCACACTTCACAGAACGCCGCTTGGTGTTTGGGATTTGAGAAATATGGCTAATTTTCGGCTAGAATTCTTTGAGTCTGAAGACAAGCGTAGGAAATGTCTCAATTTGTAGCGATATTAATTATCTCAGTGTATCTAAACTTGCTAGCGCCATCTTTTCTTGGGTATTGGGACAGTTATAAATTTGTTATTTTACCTATCATTATACCATTTATAATTTCATGCTAACAGAGAAGTAAAAACTGTATACACGAGGGATCATAATGATCGTAGACCATAAGGCAGACCAAGAAGACGATGAAGAGATAATATCCAGACAGACCTGCAAACACGTGGTGTCACGAACTGGAAAGAGAAGGCCAACCAGAGGGATGAATGGAGGCGGGTGATATCTGCAACAATGGACCTCAAGGGCTCGGAATGCTGAAGAGGAAGAAAAAGAAGATTAGGAAAAGCAGACACAGACAGTCGGTGTTTTTCGGGCATGTTATTCTCCACAACTTTGTAACATCTGGCAAGACTGGTGGAAAGAGAGCAAGGGGAAGGCAAAGAGATAAATACCTGGATGGTTTGGTCATATAGATGGAGTGTGACAAGAACACTGCCCATATCGGTGATTCTGGTGACTGTGTGAGATGGCGCAGCGTGACAGCCTGCGCTTACCGAAAAGTCAAAAGATGATGATGATTTACAATTGTTAGACACGTGTAGGCTAGGGATATTTTGAGCCAGAAGATTTAGGGCTACGTGACTATTGTTGTCGCCACGAACTGTGCAAGTTAAGATTTACAGGCTTACGGCCGAGTTCCCTAGGTTACAATTATATTTTCAAGACTATTTTCATTTAAACGGGTCATAAAACGTTTACATAAAAAACACACACACACACACAACTATTCAATACATGTTTTTTTTAAAGTTAGTTGCAAATCCTTTACAGAACGTTGCAGAACCAGCCCCAGCATTTTTTTTTTTTTTTTGGCTGTTGTGGTTTTTAAGGCAAATTGTTCGTTCATTAGTTCGCCATTGCCTCTGAACAGTCAGCTCTCGGTACCACTGTCGAAATCATCGCAAGACAAACTGTCCGCAGCTGGGATCGAACCCGGCATTACGAAGCTCGTCCGCAACGCCTAAGCCACAGACGCTGACTCAATACATATAGATAAGCGGAAAACTAGATATTTGTACTCTACTGCATCAGTACGGGGAACTTTATGACGTCACAAGTCGCGTCGGTCGTAAGTCGAGAAGAAGACAGGTTGATAGGAGAAGCTCTATATGTTTTCCTCCAAGAGAGAACAAAATGCCCATCAATTTACCAAGGATTCCAACCCAGATCTTCTGTATGACAGCACAGAGTGCTGAGATGTCGGCACGTTGCTGAGCTATCAAAAACAATTATAAATATCATCATTATCAAAGGCCTTGTCACCTGGCGTGGGCGATCATGCCCCTCCACAACCGGTGGTCTTCAGCAGCATGTATCAATCAGTTCATGTACTGACAGCCCTCCATGCTATGATAAATGGCTGTCAAGAATCTTCTATCGTTGCTTGTCTCTGTCTCTCTTTACATCAGTGGTTGTCATAATATGGGTTGCGACCCTGGGGGGGGGGGGGGTCGAACGACCCTTTCACATGGGTCGCCATAAACTATCGCAAAACACAAATTCATTATAGTTAGGAAGTAGCAACGAAAATAACTGTATGGTTGGGGGGTCGCCACTATATGAGCAACTATATTAAAGGGTCGCGGCTTTAGAAAGGTTGAGAGCCATTGCTTCACACAGATCTTTCTGGTGGTCACAACATTCCACAGGGCTATCCTCCGAATAACGGTCCCAAATTATCAAGGCTAAGAACAGGGCCTCAGTCATATGTAAATTGCAGACCTCTTTCCGGCGACTATACCGCATACCGCCGAAAAGATTCCACAGAGTTAAAGTCACCGCCGAGAGTTTTCCCCGCGCTGCTACGCGCTGCGCGGAGGGGGGCTAAACTAGATGGCTGGGACTCACGAGCAGCAGCTACCACATCTCCTGCAGCTTCCTCCATTTTATTTGCTCGTGAGTCCCAGCCATCTAGTTTAGCCACGGCACGGGGGATACTCTCGGCGGTGGCGGTATAGTCGCGGGAAAGAGGTCTGCAATTTACATATGCCTGAGGCCCTGTTAGGGTATTTTCTTAGCCTCCATAGTTTGGAACCGTTATTCAGAGGATAGCCTACCAAAGCTTTCCTTTTCTCTGAATCTAACCAAGAAATTATAACTTTTATATATATAACGTTAAGAAAAGACACATATATAGTGTTGTTTGAATTATTACAATAACCCAGTGTTTACAAACTGTTTTTATTTAACAAAATTGACAAAATGATATGTCATGCATGATGTGGACAAACAGCACAAAGCCCCCACCCTACCCCCTTTTTTTTTCTTCTCTTGTACCACTGCAATATCACAGCGCTTCCCAAGCCCTTTCCCTTATTCAATTTAATCCATATAATAATCGGAACTATGGTCAACAACTGGTCCTCTTTTGATAAAACTAGACCCGATGGTATCTAGTGGTCTCTTCAAGAAACCTCTCCATGACATTTTGCTTGGTCGCTTGGTGTAGTCTCCGCCTGCGTCGTAAAAGATGTTCCCGCGTTTGATAAATGCACTGCCTATTGAATCAAGAGGTCTTCTAGTGAACAGTCTGGCGCCGTTATTGCTCCGTTTGATAAATCTGCTACCAATGGTGTCCAGTGGCCTTTTGAGAAACGATCGACGGATTGAATCGACATTTCTTTTTATCAGACCTCGTCCAATGGGATCAATCGGTCGTTTCAGAAATGGATCGTCGAAAGAGTCGATGTTTTTCTTGATGAAACTGCTTCCAATTTTATCTAGTGGTCTTCTCAAAAAGTTGATTCCTTGATTATTTCGTTTAATGAAACGGCTCCCAACTGTATCGATGGGTCGTCGGAGAAAGGAACTACTTCTGGGATCGAAATTTTTCTTAATGAAACTATTCCCTATAGCATCGAGGGGTCTTCGAAGAAAAGAATTACTTCTGGAATCGATACTTTTCTTAATGAAACTACTCCCAATTGCATCGAGAGGTCTTCTTTGAAAAGAATTACTTCTGGAATCGATACTTTTCTTAATGAAACTACTCCCAATTGCATCGAGAGGTCTTCTTTGAAAAGAATTACTTCTGGAATCGATACTTTTCTTAATGAAACTACTCCCAATTGCATCGAGAGGTCTTCTTTGAAAAGAATTACTTCTGGAATCGATACTTTTCTTAATGAAAGTACTCCCTATAGCATCGAGGGGTCTTCTGAGAAAGGAATTACTTCTGGAATTGATATTCCTTTTAATGAAACTACTGCCAATAATATCTATGGGTCGTCTCAAAAAGTAATTATTTCTGGAATCCATATTTTTCTTTATGAAACTGCTCCCAATGATATCGACTGGTCTTCTGTGAAAGGAATTGCTTCTGGAACCGATACTCTTCTTAATAAAACTACTGCCGATGGTATCAAGGGGTTTCTTTAGGAAGGAACTGATTCGAGGTCCCGCAGTGCGTTTAATAAAACTGCTTCCAACAGGGTCTAAAGGCCGCTTGAAATAGTTGTCCCTAGCGAAAATATTTGGACTTTGCACGTGTGAATGTCCCATAGAGCCAGAAGATTTCTTGACCAATTCATTAGCTATTTCGTCCTCTAGATTTTCAGGAAATAGATACTCACTGGAGTTATTTATCTCTTCATTGCTGCTGCTTTGTGAATGATCTTCCAACCTCTCGGAATGAAAACTCCCATCGATAGGTGTCATTTCGTAACTGTCTTTTACAGCGTCTAGCAATGACTTGGGCAGATAACTCTCACCCGAGTCTGTCTGCATGTGGTGGTTGTCGCTACCTAGGGATTCGATGTTTTCTTGTATGGTTGAGAAACCCTCGTTGCTGAATGATGCCTCGTCTAGATCTGCGTCATCGGGTTCCAGGTTTGAATCTGCGTTTTCCATTAGCTGCTTGAGCTCCTCGGCTCTGAAATGTAAAATTGGAAGTATCAAGTTAAGATTAGTTGATAAGCTGGCTCGGTGATATGTTTTGTTTGTTTAGTGTGGTCTTGTCACAGTACATGTCTCGTGAAGGTAACGAGATCATTCCTCTTTCTTTCTTTCTTTCTTTCTTTCTTTCTTTCTTTCTTTCTTTCTTTCTTTCTTTCTTTCTTTCTTTCTTTCTTTCTTTCTTTCTTTCTTTCTTTCTTTCTTTCTTTCTTTCTTTCTTTCTTTCTTTCTTTCTTTCTTTCTTTCTTTCTTTCTTTCTTTCTTTCTTTCTTTCTTTCTTTCTTTCTTTCTTTCTTTCTTTCTTTCTTTCTTTCTTTCTTTCTTTCTTTCTTTCTTTCTTTCTTTCTCTGTCGGTCGGTCGGTCGGTCGGTCGGTCGGTCGGTCGGTCGGTCGGTCGGTCGGTCGGTCGGTCGGTCGGTCGGTCGGTCGGTCGGTCGGTCGGTCGGTCTGTCTGTCTGTCTGTCTGTCTGTCTGTCTGTCTGTCTGTCTGTCTGTCTGTCTGTCTGTCTTTCTTTCTTTCTTTCTTTCTTTCTTTCTTTCTTTCTTTCTTTCTTTCTTTCTTTCTTTCTTTCTTTCTTTCTTTCTTTCTTTCTTTCTTTTCCTTCCTTCCTTCCTTCCTTCCTTCCTTCCTTCCTTCCTTCCTTCCTTCCTTCCTTCCTTCCTTCCTTCCTTCCTTCCTTCCTTCCTTCCTTCCTTCCTTCCTTCCTTCCTTCCTTCCTTCTTCCTCCCTCCCTCCCTCCCTCCCTCCCTCCCTCCCTCCCTCCCTCCCTCCCTCCCTCCCTTCTTCCTTCCTTCCTTCCTTCCTTCCTTCCTTCCTTCCTTCCTTCCTTCCTTCCTTCCTTCCTTCCTTTCTTCCTTCCTTCCTTTCTTCCTCTTTCCATCTTTATTCTTCTTCTTTATTTATTGTATCAATCTAGATATTATATATCTCCTTGTATGCTTCTCTCTCTCTCTCTCTCTCTCTCTCTCTCTCTCTCTCCATTCCTCTCTTTCTCCCTCTCTCTTTTCTTTTGTTTATCTCTCCTTTGTCTTCGTTGACCACCGAAAAAAAGGCATCAAGCTCAACACATACACACTCCGTTGCTCTGGCAATAACTGCTTTTATTTTTTTTTTTTTTTGTTATTTTCCTGGTGTTGTATAATTGTGATCAATGACAGTCCACGCCCAGGAAGCATTGTCATATGCACAGATGAATCTGTATTGTGAAAAAAAGTGGGTACGGATTTCATTGCAAAGGTGAATGGACATTCTTCTTCTGCCTTTCTATTCCCCAATGGAGCTTACGCCCTCAACCAACTCACGCCAAGCCGTTCTATCCTTCGCCATTGCATGGAGCTCTTCCCATGTCCTCCCCATCTTTCTAACTTCATTTTCCAGCTCTCTTCTCTATGTGTTTTGTGGCCTTCCTTTATTCCTATGCCCCTGTGGGTTCCAATACAAAGAGATCCTATTTATGCTGTTCTCCTGTTTTTTAGTGTGTGTCCTATCCAACGCCAACGTCTTTTCCCCACCTCTTGGTCCACTGGAGCCTGTTTAGTTATCTCCCAGAGCTCTACATTAGTTATTCGCTCATACCATTTAATTCCCTCTGTTCTGCGCATTCACCCGTTAATGAATGTCTGTAATTTACTAGTAATTGTCTTAGTTGTTCTCCATGTTTCCGCCCCATACAAAAGTACTGATTTGACATTAGAATTAAAAATTTCTAGTTTAGTATTTCTTTTAATTTCTTTTGAGCTCCACAAATTCCCTAGTGCTATGAAAGCCCCTCTTGCCTTTTGAATTCTTATTTTAATATCTCAATTAGTTCCTCCATCTTTATCTACATTACTGCTCAAATAGGTGTACGACTCCACGCCTTAGAGTGGAGTGCCATTTAGAGAAACCACATTACTATTTGCCTGATTTATTCTCACTATCTTTGTCTTTCCTTTATGGATTTTCAGACCAAGAATGGACATTATTTTAAGAAAATGAATCTCACTTATAACATCACAACCGTAGAAGATAATGGAGGCGGAGACAGTAACAGCTGCCTTCCGAAGGCATAGAAAGTAACCGCTGGCTCCCAAAGGCGGAGACAGTAACATCTGTTTTCTGAAGGCAGAGACAGTAACAACTGCTTTCTGAAGGCGGAGACAGTAACATCTGTTTTCTGAAGGCAGAGACAGTAACAACTGCTTTCTGAAGGCGGAGACAGTAACATCTGTTTTCTGAAGGCGGAGACAGTAACAACTGCTTTCTGAAGGCGGAGACAGTAACATCTGTTTTCTGAAGGCTGAGACAGTAACAACTGCTTTCTGAAGGCGGAGACAGTAACATCTGTTTTCTGAAGGCAAAGACAGTAACAGCTGCTTTCTGAAGGCGGAGACAGTAACATCTGTTTTCTGAAGGCAGAGACAGTAACAACTGCTTTCTGAAGGCGGAGACAGTAACATCTGTTTTCTGTAGGCGGAGACAGTAACAACTGCTTTCTGAAGGCGGAGACAGTAACATCTGTTTTCTGAAAGCTGAGACAGTAACAACTGCTTTCTGAAGGCGAAGACAGTAACATCTGTTTTCTGAAGGCAAAGACAGTAACAGCTGCTTTCTGAAGGCAAAGACAGTAACAGCTGCTTTTCGAAGGTGGAGACAGTAACAGCTGCTTTCTGACGCAGAGACAGTTACTGTTGCCTCCCGAAAGTGTAGACAGTAACAGCTGCTTTCCGAAGGTGGAGACAGTAACAGCTGCTTTCCGAAGGTGGAGACAGTAACTGCTGCCTTCCGAATGCTAGAGAGTAGTACAGCCCGACATGTCAAAATTGTAACGAACTCAGAGGCATGCTTCTAAGGGCAGACAGAGACTGGTATCCTACACGATGAGTAGATTACACTGCTTGATAAGACTCAGGTAAGGCTTATATCAGGGATTTTCTCTCCAGGAAATTTGACTGTTGTTGTGCATCTGAGTGGTAAGCTACTTTAGACGCGATGAAGGCTGTGTGGGATCAAGTGGACAGTGCCACACTACAGATTATCCACAACCCGAGAGACTGATTCAGTGGGGACTGAGCAGAGTGTCTGGACAGTTATATCTGGACGTGATATTGGTAAAATGGCGTTTATAAATTGCTTCTAGAGTTCCAATATTTGCAAAATTAAAAATGTTTGCCTTTGCTTGCTCCTTTTCAAAGTATACTCTTTAGAGATGTACACAAACCCCTATGGAATGCTTTCTTTCAATGTTGACCTCCGAGGCGTGCCTGGCAGGCGAAGGTGGGTAGGAAGTGGAGAAGGCTGAAAAGGGGGAGAAGTAGAAGTAAAAGGAGGAAGATAATATTAGGCATAATGAGGAGGAAAGAGGAAGGAGGGGTGAAAATAAGAAGGAGGATGGGGTAGTGAGGAGGAGGAGGATTAGAAAAAGAAACAAAAAGACGCAGAAGAAGACGTCTTGAATTGTACTCATTAATTTTGAAACAGCACCTGTGCACCGGTTTTTTTATTACATTTGTTTTTCTAGCACTGCACGAAAATATGAGAAGATATATTTATACAATAAAACGGCAGCGTGGACATGACAGTTTCTAACATTAGATAGTTGTCATTAGTATGTTAAATATCTCCAGAGATTATTCCCAATAGACTCACTCGTTGGTATCCTGCTATCTACATCACGTGGGCACAAGAGCCAACACTGAAATCGGCAGCTGAGAAGAGGGACGAGAAGCGGGGAAAACGACCAGTAAAAAGGGAAAATCAAGGAAGAGAAGAAGAATTCTATCTCGTCATCCCCTTGTAGGATGCAATTTTTAGTTGATTCGAAGCCCCACCCTGGCTTTTGCCGGGGGCCCTAAATATAGCCGGGCTTGAAATATGGCCTAACGGATGAACGTGGTTTCCGGGACCTCTCCACGGGGGATCCTCATCCGCATGGTGATACTTTGTGTCACCGGGTGTTTATCGCTTGTGTGATGTCCTAGTAGGGTACAACTTACATACATACATACATACATACAGGAGAAGAAGAAGCGGGTAGAAGAAATGAAAAATAAGAATAAAATTTGATTTACTCTTTAAGTTTCAGTCAGTTAGCTAATAATTTTTGTCCATTCGTTTCTGTAGCACCGTATGCGAGTATGCACAAAGGAAGGTATTTATAGCACAAGAGGTCCGGTTGGGTAGAGGAGGTTGCTTACATTGATTAACAAGTTTTGATCTGTGAGTTACACATCTCCAGAAATGGTACTGAATGGACTCCATCGCTGTTCCAGTGTTATCTCCATCACCGGAACACGAGTCAATATTGGAATCAGCAAACCGGTGAATACGAACTACAGCCAGGGCGGTATCATTAATCAGATTTGGGCACACTTGGATAAAAGCGCGGGACGGTGGGGTCATCATAGCATGCCGTTTGTGGACTGACCCACAGTTGTAGCTGATATTTAACACTGACTTCCTGGCATGGGTCACGGATTTGAGATCTGGCGTTAAGGGCGGGAAATATTTGGACTGCCTAACTGGGTCGGCCATGTTGGATGGTTAAACATCGTTGAATAGTTCAGGCTGTATCAGGTTTACAGTTGGATGGTTAAACATCGTTGAATAGTTCAGGCTGTATCAGGTTTACAGCTGGATGGTTAAACATCGTTGAATAGTTCAGGCTGTGTCAGGACAGTTGGATGGAATTAAACCGCCGTAACTCATACAAACACATAGACACAACACACAATCTTGGTTTGTAATTTATATTGCTGGGATTTTTAGCACTAGTTTCCGAAAAAAGACAACCTCTAGATTGTCTGTTCAACTTCTTCTTCTTGGCGTTCAGCAGTCATAAAAATGCGGCGAAAGTTCTGGTTGTTCGTCTACTTCTGGACTTTAGTTCTATTCTAGAACTTGAGTTTTACGGTCACATCTGTTTTACAGAACTTGTTTTTATTTGTATGCAAACTGTTAGTTCCTGGCCTATCAC